TCCCCACCTCACCCGCGCTGAAATCCTTCTCCGTCAGCCAAGCTGCTCTGGGTGTCTGGTGAAGCAGCTCCTGGAAGCTGATGCCTTGGAACAAAATGTCTTCTTTGGAAAAGGGGCAACCAGACTCCTTTTCGGGGTGGGGACATTTGTTTGTTTGCCCAGACTTCTCTGAAGCTCCAAGTGAAAACAGCTTTAGTTCCAAGACTGGAGCGAAGGCTGAGATGGAGCGGCTTGTGGAAGCCAGGCTGTGTCCCCCGGGTGCCCCTGAGTCTGGGAACTGGCCGTGAGGCGCCTTGCTCTTGGTAGCCCTGCTGCAGATTGGGGGAATCTGTCCCAGGGGCCTGCGGCTCCTCCTCCTCCGGACTATGTGAAAAGCAGCGATGGTTGCCCTTCCTCATTACTGCCCCCTCCCCGAGGGGAGCTGTCCTGGCCTGCCATTCTCCCGCTGGCAGGAAGACCTGGCCAGGCTCTGTCTCAGGGGGGTTTGGTGCTTCCAGGTGTTGTTGGGAAAGAAGACTGCCCGCCAGAGGGGGAGACGTGGCCTGGCAGCAGCAAGGGGCAGAGCGTGGCTGGTGGGGCCCCCAGGTAGGTGGCTCACAATCCCCCCAGCAGAACATTCTCAGGGGCTGGGTGGGGCTTTGCCCTCTTTTTATTGTGTCACTTTTTGCATCTGTCAAGACAGCTTCCGTTACGGGGCAGCTTTAAACTGCCATTAATTGACAGTATGCAAATGCCTCTTTCTGATTTGTTACTGCCCACAGTTTTCTTGTGGGGACCAAGTCTTTTGGAAAGCAAACTTCACCGGAAGAACCATCATTCCATCTGAGTGGTGGAAAGCAAAAGGCTGGGGTACCTTTGGAACAAATAAAAGCAGAGGCCTCTTCCTGTCTCCAGTGCAATCTTGGGCACTTGAAAACTTGCCTTTTTATTTGTAGGCGAAGTCTCCCTTGCTTCCTGATGCCCTCAGGGGCATGACTAGGTTTTCCCCAAGCAGTTCTAGAGAAGTAGTTTGCTATTGCCTTCTTCCAGAATGTTCCACATTTCCAGCCTAGCCAGCAGCTTTCCTGCTGGTCTCCCATCCAAGCAGGGCTAGACCTGCTTAGCTTGTTGGAGAACAGCTGTAGAGGAGGCCCAGGTGTTGCCATCTTTCTGCATCTTCCTTCACCAGGAGAGGAAAAGCAGCTGCTCTCCTGCAGCCCTTCTCATTCTCTGGACCTATGGGAGCAGAAGGGGGGGGGCGAGAGAAGGCAGGTTCTTGGCAGAGGCCTTTTAAGATGGCTGTTTGCTAGGAAGAAGAGCCTAGCACCACGCTGGCTGCCAGCTGCCGCTAGCCAAAGGGGAGAGGAGCAATCATACTCCCTTTAATTTGCTGATTGGGCAATAATTTAAGTCCACCTTTGCTTTGAGCTCGTCCTTGCCTCCTTTTTTGTCCTGATTCAGCCCTCCTGGAAGACCTCTTCTCTGCCTCCTTCCTCATTTCTAGGCCAAGCAAGCTCCACAGGGAGGGAACCTCAGATGCTCTGGTGTCAAGCAAGACCCTGGACCGGAGAGGATCCACCCTCAGGTCCCAGCTCCTGCAGAAGGAGGACCTGTACACATTCCTCTGCTGTTTCAAGTAAGGGTGGTCTTGCGGGGAACTCTGGGTGGGAGGGATGCCCCCTCAGCTTGCATGAAGGAAGTGAGAGGCTCCCAGCAAAGGGCTGTGGTCTGCGTACCCCAGAAGGGAGCTGGGCAGAGGGTGACAGTCTCTTCTGCCTGGCAAAATGGAGGGTGATAAACTGTTCCCTGCAGGTTCTTTGTTGGTTCATACAATGTGAATGGCCAGTCACCCCAGGAAAGCCTTCTGCCCTGGCTGAGCCATGACCCAGAGCCTCCAGATGTCTACTGTGTGGGGTAAGTCCGCCTCTCTTCCCATGCTCCTCCGGCCCTGTTCTGAGAGCTTTGCCCCAGTCCGATACCTGCTCCACGGGCAAATGTGCAGCTTAGCAGTAACTTGCATGCCATTCATTATCGCCTGATTTTCTTTCCTGTGCTGGGAGGAAAACTCTTTCCTTCCTGGAGAGTGCGAGGCCCCTCAGGCCCTCTCTTGAACACAGCTTTCAGGCACTGGATCCAAGCAGAGAGGCTGCTGTGTTCCACGACACACCCAGAGAAGAGGAATGGTTTAAAGCTGTGACCAAGAGCCTCCACCCAGGAGCCAAGTACGCGACGGTAGGTGGGGCTCCGGCTGCTCAGGGGCCTCTCCTTCTGAAGCCCTGCTCTCTGCATGGCCGACCCCATGGCACTCCGTCAGGAGGTCAGGCCCAGCCCAAGGATGACAGTCCAGCCAAGTTCAGTCCCTTTATTGCTTACGCTATATAGGTAGAATCCTGCCAGATTAAATCGGTACTACTCTGACATAGTGGATATGCAGTCGTATGAAAAAGAAGGTACACCCTTTTGAGTTCTATGCTTTTACGTACTCATACTCCTATTTCCCTTCCACTTTCATGGGTGGGGATGGTGGATCCTGGGATCTCAGTGCTTGGAGGCACTTCCTTGACTAGCAAGGAGCAATGAAAGATGGGGTGGACCTTCATTGAAGCCAGTAGCTGCAAATGAAATGCTACTGGGTTTACCCATTGAATGACAATGAAAGGGCCCACAAACTTAGTGTCCAACTTCTTTGACCGGCTGGTCGATGTTAAGAACTTAGTAGAGAGCTGTACTTTGTTCCCTTCCGAAATCACTGGCCCCTCCTGCCTACGAGCATCCGCAGTTCTTTTGTAAGCTGCCTTCTCCTTTAGTAGTTGCTCTTTTAATAGTTCCTGAGCTGCTTGTTGCTCCCAGAGAAATTCTGTGGCACCAGGTACAGTTCTTTGCTGCGTGGTTGTAGGTAAAACTCATGGGTGGACTCCATTCATTGCTTGGAATGGTGATTTGCCAATTGATGAGTGCACAGAATTGTTATATGTGAATTCTGCTGACAGGAGGAGTGCCGTCCAGTTACCTTGGCTGTATGTGCTGTAGCAGCTTAGATACTGCTGCAATACCTGGTTAGGTTCCTCTACCTCTCCATTTGCGGAAGGGCAGTGGGCTGAAGACAAGTGAATCTGCACATTCAGCAACTGGAAAAGGACCCTCTAAATTCTGGAAGTGAATTGACTTCCTCTGTCGTTGTGTGGTTAACCATTTCTCTATACCTAAATGCGTGGTCTAAAAAGAGCTGTGCCACGGCCTGTGCTGTCAGGAGCCCCCTGCATGGTATAAAATGGGCCATCTTGGTGAAAAGATCTACTACTACCAGTAGAGATGTATATCCTTGTACTGGGGGTTTAGTGTGGTTGGATTGTCCCGACCGAGCGCTCTCTCTAGGATCTCCAAGTTGAGCCCGTTTTTGAAATAGTCCACCCTCAGGGATTCCGGCCAATCAGTGAGTTTTTTTGTTATGCACCGTAACTCTAGGGCATACTCAGCCACCGACTTCTCCCTCTGTCTCAGCCATTGGATGTCGTCTCTGGCCTGCCTGGCACTCAGCGTGTCCTCGAATCTATCCCGGAGTGCCTGCATGAACTCCGGGAAACTCTCTAGCTCAGCTGCGTTGGCGTCATATAGACGGGCGACCCAACCGGCTGCTTGGCCCTCCAATAAGTCGGCCACGTAGGCTACTCGCTCCCCGTCATTGGAGAAAAGGTGGCCACTCTGCTTCATAAAATTCCTCACCTTTGTGAGGAAACAAGGTAGTTGCTCGGGGTCCCCCGAGAACTTTCCGTTCAGGCCCTGGAGTCGCAGCGTGTCCGCCGCCTGTTGGTCTCCTGATACCTCGCCTCCAAGGTGTGTCCTCGGAGCCGAATGGGGCACCGGACCAGCGTTGATCTCGCCCGACTCCTTCTCCGCCTGTGGTTCTGCTGCAGGGGCCTCATTCTCACGAAGTATGGCCTGCAGCATCGCCTGGATGGGTTCTAACCGCTGCTCGAATTTGGCATCCAAGCGGGTTAGGTGTTCCTCCAACTCCCGGGCTTTGGATCCCAAGCCACAACCCGTTGTGACTCCCCATCCTGCTGACCCATCGGGCCCCATGCCGATGCCAAACGACCACCTGGCGTCCTCCAGCACCCTCTCGGCTGTGTCCCCGCGCCCCTCGCTCTGGGCCGGTCCCGCTGTTGCGCCTTTGGGCTTGGGCTCCTCGTTGCACCGCTGGCTCGTGCCTTCTCCGTTGCTGGCCATTTCAGTTAAAGTCGACAGGCTTGGAATACTTGGCTGTCCTGGGGATAGAATTGCGAGCGCTCCTCGGTGATACTGGGTAGTGTTCAAAGGTGAACCCTGGCTTTTTGTAAGGTTTACCCTGTTCGTCTCAGAGAAACTCTCGTGACACGTGTGTTCAGCAAAGAGGTTTACTCAAGCGTAACATAAGTAAGTACAGTCAAAGCCAGGGTTGGCTTGGCATAGCTTACGTGGTATTTTATAGCTTCCCCATTCCTGCACTTTTACCCGTTGCTCAGTTACAGATTACCTGCAGTAATCCCCCCTCGCCCCAATGGCAGATTCAGTCCGGTGCTTTTGTCTTTCTGATTGCCATCTCTGGGTTGTGCTGTTGTTGCATTTGTTGGGCTTCCCTGTTTGCACGCAAAGCCGGGAGTTCCCGATCGCTCGTTGATCGCTTCCCTCCCGAGCCTCTGCGCTCCCCTTTGTCTGCAGCGCCCGAGGGGAGCCGGAACTGATACAAAGTATCCGCTTGCGGTTTTGAGTTAAGCGCTGCCAC